GAGAAGGGCACTAAAAGCCTTTAGTAGGGCAAGTGGGATATCGTTAAACCAACTGGTTAACAAACGCTGTTGTAAATAGACATATAATGTCATGTAGGAAACTAGCGAATACAATATTGTCAGACCCCGAGGATCCTCTCTATACACAGCTCTCTCCTTGCATTTCATCTGGTAGAACTAGAAGCAGGTATAGGAGGTTGGCTATATGCTAGGACTACCAAATACAAAAACTGCACAATACCATATCTGGCACAGCTGTTATGTGATGAGAAATCCGTTAGGAATGACACGATAAACTTACTGCGGCACTCTAACAAATAGTCCCATTAGTTTTTGTTTTCCTTTCCTCGTTACTACTACACTGTTGTTCTCGTCTTCTATCACACATCAACTTTTTGTGTCATATCCTGTGGTGCATTGTTTGAAATGTAAACTCGACGCTGTTTTTTTCTTTTTCTTTTTTTTTGGGTGTTGCTTTTTGATTTTACAATCTTGTTAAATTTAAGAGGTAATTAGATGCAGGATATTGTAATGCACGCTGAAAATTCCATACCTGTACCACAATTACTGTTTGGAATAAATCGGTTATTATTATTAGAATGATGTTAATAATAGCAGTGGTATTATTCTAGACACAGTACTGTTGATACAGCACAGTGCTACGTCTAATTTCCTCATTCCACAATACACGGGTAATAATTAAAACAGGGCATGTACGTTGATACTGCTGTTCAGCATGAATATACGAATATAGAATTAGAATTTAAGCGAAAGTGTAAACAACAATGTAACACAATGAAACCAAACAAAAATGGGACCATTTACTTAGAGTTCCACATTCAGTCAGTCAGTCAGTCAGTAGTTCCCCGTCTCACACACTTTTCTCATCCTGGCCAAATAGGGTATTGTAGAGTTTTTATACTAAGTCGCCCAAATTTAAAGTCTCTTATAGCTGCCTCTTGTGTGTCGGTGGTGCAGTGGTAGAATCCTGCCATCCACGCATGTGGCCCGGGGTTAGGTTCTCGGTAGACTCACTCCTTTACCGCTCTAAGACAGTAACAAGACTAGTAAAGAGGGAAGGTTGGGCATTAGGCTAACAACCCAATCCCGTTAAAATAAACACCACTGCTAGTGAAACTTCAAAGCTCTGGCATGGATCTTTATGTTCCACAAGGAGCGTAAAGGAATAAGTAGAATTGCTTCTAGTTCTACCTGATGAGATGCAATAAAGGGTGAGTGGTGTATATAAAGGATTTGCAAAGTCTGACAAGATAATATGTGCCAATTTCTTTCAGGACTCCATGTGTCTTTCTATCTATCTACAATAGTATTAAGAGGATGATTTACCGACGCCTTACTCACCTCACTGACAGCTCTTAGTGCCCTTCGCAGTATAACAATGTTGAGTAGGAGAAATAAGAAACAACAGGTGGAATACAAGAATTAACAAACTGCAGAATGTTATGCGAAATATATCTTTAAAATTAATTTCATGATTTCATAGCATCAGATATTTTGATTTGACACTAGTAACTAGTGTGATGCGTCTAGTCCTCTGATTGTTGAAGACTGAATTCTATCAGTCAGGTTGTAATGTGATCTTTCTATAGTTTGGTTTGTAAGGATTAGTTATGTTTTACGGGTTGATCACGGATTGATATCAGTTAGAGAACCATTGAAAACCAGGGAGTACTGGACAGCTGCTGTTTCATCCTAGTTTGGGAATCATCGGCAGTACGCACCCACTGGGATTCGAACCCGGGACCTTCCGGTTACAAGGCAAGCTCGTATACCATTCAGTCACTGGGACCCGATTCAATGGCTCGTGAATTCTAACTTCTACTAATTCGTAATGTGATCACCATTCTAGCTAGCTCGCCATTACAGTGCACATTGATTTGATGGTATTATATGGTTGGAGGCAATCGGTAGGAAGCCTTGGACCAGTCAGCAAGGCCTTAATGATGAGTGCCAACTAGCAGGAAACCTAAGTCCAAGGCTTCCTGCCGATCGCCTCCAACCATATAATAGTATCAGACATTCCCACATCATGAATTAAAAGTCAATCTGAACGAAGAATATTTACTTCCGCAAATTCTCCTTTTCAGGCTCTTACAGTTATGAAACATAACATTTATTATAGTTACAACTATTGGTTAAATGTACAACAAATTAAATGTATAGACAGGTTGATGGAGTAGCCATGAGATCACTACAAGGACCTACTTTTGTGAACATATTTCTAGCAAAACTAGAAAATAGACTGTTGGAAGGTGAAATAGAAAACATAGGAATGTATCCACGCGAATATGGATGATAATTTTGTAATGATTTGATTTTGAGTGACATCAATAACACTCACTTAGCAGTCCATTTCACCAAGGAAGGAGAATACAACGACCCTCTGCAGCTCCTCGATGTTTTACTACTATCCAGAGGAGGGTATGGTTCCTTCAAAAGAACTATATTTATAAAGCTAGAGACGAAAACTCAGTATACACACTTCCTTAGATTCGTATGGATGAAATACAAGCGTAATCTGATCAGATGCTAAGCATGTAGGACGAGGTCCATTTGTTCCGAAGACTACGTAGAGAAAGAACTCCATATCATGAGACATTCTAAGTGAGAATGGATATCCAGACAACTTTATATAAGCCAACATAGGTTACAATAGTCGTAAACATGAACTAGCAACCGTGCATAAAACGCCTCTGTTTTCATGTCTACAATTCAAGGGAGATACTCCTGTTGAGATTTCTATCACAACATTTACCCAGGGCGATGAAGAAAACTTTCTACTGTGCACATCTGTTCCTATCTTTCAGTAGTCGTTCAATGTTCGCCCAACAACTGATAGATGTATTACCTAACCTTAGCTCTTCATGTTTATGCATATGCCGTTTCAACTGTTCTTGTGGTTCAAGTGATATAGGGCGCACGATTAAACAGGTTCGTCTACGGGTTTGGAAACAGTTATCAGCTTGGTTCAGCATAGGTGCAATTATATGCACAAAAAGCTCGATCCTGTCACAGTTGGTCGACAGTGGGCATCGCATCGATGTCAGCACAGCCTTCAGGGTTATATACCAAATTCTGACGTTGTTATCACGGGAACTTTTTATCTAAGAAGATTACGTTCATACACTGTTCTTATCTTGGCAAAACTTGGATTTAATTTTCTTCTTGTCACCAGAAGTACCTCTTCATCGACTTTGAAAAGGCCTTCGACAGCGTCGATCGAGAGGTCATTTGGAAATCATTTCGCTACTGCCAATGGGTGCCATCGACAATTATACATCTCATCAAACAGTTATACGGTAATGCTGCATGCAAAGTAATCCACAACGGGAAACTTACAGAAGCCTTCGAAGTGAGGACAGGAGTGAGGCAAGCTGGCTGTCTACTATCGCCAATGTTTTTCCTGATTGCAATAGATTGGATAATGCGACAGACAACGGACAATGAGGAAACAGGCGTAAAGTGGACCAACACAAAAATCCTGGAGGATTTGGACTTCGTTGATTATATATGTCTGATTTCCCACAAATTGGAAGATATGCAAATGAAAAGCAACAAGCTGGCGACACAAAAAGCATCAAAGATAGGACTACTTTTAGTTGAACATAGATAAAACAGAGGCGGTGAAGATTCCTGGCCAACAACAGACAACAATCAGCATAAATGGGAAGAACCTGAAATAAACAGCCTCCTTCACCTACCTAGGAAGCATTGTTTCAACTACAGGCGTACGGAACTGACGAGGATATCAAAGCCAGAATCGGAAAAGCAAGACAAGCTTTCATTACTCTTAAGTCTGTGTGAAGATTAACATCACTCAGCATCAAAAATAAGATCCGGATTTTCAACTCCAGTGTTAAGTCAGTCAGTGCTACTATACGGACCAGAGACTTGGCGAGTCATAAAGAGGATCTCAAACAAACTTCAGACCTTCGTTAACACCTGTCTTCGCTCAATACTCAAGATCAGATGTCCGACCAGAAATGATCAGCAACAGGGATCTCTGGCAATGAGTGAACCAACACAGCAGGAACCGATTGTGAAACAAATAGGCAGGAAGAAATGGAGATTGATTTGCCATACTCTGAGGAAACCATCAAGTGACTGACATCACTAGACAAGCCCTCACTCGAGTGGAACCCAAAATGGAGGCGGCGAGTTGGTCGTCAGTGCAAGGGTGACTGGGAGGAGGTGATGTGAAGAGAAGATGAAAGTGTGTGGGCAGACTTGGAGCGGGGTGAAAAAGTTGGCAGAAAACCGAAGGCAATGGAGACGCATAGCTGAAGCCCTATGCTCCTCTAGGAATTAAAGGACATAATAATAATTAAATAATAATATCCGGATTGAATATCAGTGATATTTTCTCTTTTCTGAATATATGCCTCCGCCTGTTTTATTTCACACATTCATTATTTCACTATGAACCTCTCTCATCGTGGTCTCACTATATCCTCACTAATACATAGTTTGTTGTGCTAGCCACTCACCTGACACCTTTTATAACCTTGAACCGACTTGTCAGTTTTTCCTACTCTACAATCTACAATTCTATTATGACTAATCACCATCATCATTGTCTCCTACTTCACAGTATGTTGTAATCGATTTCAGCCCAGGGCACGTTTGTCACACAAATACGACTATTTATTTTGGCATTGGACAACTAATCTGTAATCTACCTTTAACTAACGTATCCACTGCATAACTGTCCATTATTGTAACAACAAGAAATATTATATTTTATAATTGTAAAGAACTGAAGAGGAGAATTTATTCAAAAGAGTATTCTTCGTTCATATTGACTTTTAACATGTTGATGGTAACATTTCAAGTTCATTTTCAAAATTTTTCGCTTAACAAAGGCAAGTAAGACGCGTTTGAGACAAGCTGTATAACAGTTTCATGAGTGCTTTTTCACATTAATTATCCAAGTAGCTAATCGTTCAAGCATCTTCTTATTTTTTCTTCTTTCCCTTAAGGACTTCATTGTCAGACAGTGAAAACATACTATGCCTTACATGTGATAATGTTAACTACACATACAATTTGGTAGATGTTTTTCCCAACGGTAAATACTTTATACAAGATATACGTGGTTCAAGTGTACCGAAAACAATGCTGAAACGGATTGATAGAAATTTATCAGCAACAGATAGTAAGTAGTATGTTAAAAATTTTGAAAAAATTTATTATATGAATAAATGTTAGTCATAGAATGATAAAGTATATCGAATCAATGCAATTGACCAAACAAAAACGTTATTTCAACAGAAATGACTCCTATTTCAGCGATGAGATTCTTCGTGTTAGTACAAACCAAGTTCGGAAAAGGAATTCATTGAGATGTTTGTATATTATGTCAACTCGTAGCCAACTTATTACTCAAAATGAATGCCACTCGGAAGAATAATTTACAGTGCTGTAAATATATTCAGATGACGGTAATCGTGTATAACTTCCTCGCCGTTTGTCCATCTGTAAATAGTTGTTCCGGATTTCAAAAAAATATTAAATAATAAATGCCTATTCTCAATACAGTTGTGAAATACGAGACCAAGGTGAGGATTGTAAAATGAGGCTTGTCTGGTTAGCTGCCCGAGGTCATTTCACTGGTCGTTTGCATCGGTTGAAATACTTTAGTCTTACCTGAATGTTACAGTATGACATGAATTGACATTACAGGATGACAGTCTCTGCATAAATAATGACATCGTTATTTCCATACGAAACATAAAAGAAGGCGTCACTTTTACTTGAAGAATAGGTGTCAAATGACGTCTTTATCCAACTCGGATTTGTCTGGAGATATATTGTTACATCTTGCTATAACAGTGTGATACTGGGTTGTGAGTTGGTCTATTATTGTTCCTTTGGGTTCCTAGTGGAGCATAGGGCTTCAACTGCACGTCTCCACTTGCTTCTGTCTTCTGCTGTACTTTTCACCTGCATCCATGTAAGTTTATACTCTTTCAACTCCTCTTCACACGATCTCCTCCATGTCACTCAACTTTGGAAGTCCCACTCCGCTTCCCTTTCGGATTCCACTCGAGGACCTGACACGCGATGTCACCCAGATTGAATGAAGTAACCTTTTTCAAATCCCTCATGTTCATAGTGGTAAGCACTGGATGTTGCTGTTGTTGTTGTTGGTTATTTTCATAACCTCCATCTTGTCTATGTTCACTTGGAGTCCTGTTTTCGCTGGCTGCTTCTTCGACCAGTTTGTCGGTTTTCGCTTGTAAGTCTTCGATTTTGTGACAGTGACATCAAACATAAATCATCCACGCGCGAAATCCAGGTCTTCTAGGTTCTCCACGTCATTCCAGGATATTCCTGTCTTCTTCTTTCCCACTGTCTGACGCATAAACCAGTCCACCACAATTCGGAATATCATTGGTGATAGATAATAAACACCCCTGTCTGACTCCTGTGTTTACATCAAACGCCTCGCTGTGTTTTCCTTTATGGATCACTTGACATGTGCCGTTGTCGTACAGCTGTTAAATTAGGTTGATGAATATTTGGGGTACGCCGTAGTACTCGAGTAGTTTCCAAATTACTTCACGATCGACGCTGTCGAAGGCCTTCTCAAAGTCTATAAAGTTGAGGTAGAGGTTTGATTGTCATTCCATGCTTTATTCTGTGATGATGATGCGTAGAGTTGCAATCTGGTCAGTACATGATTTGCCTTTCCTGAATCCAGCTTGTTCTGGTCGGAGTTCTGTCTCCAGTGCGTTCTTTATTCTCTCCAGGATGATGCGACTCGGGATTTTACTTGGCGTTGACAGGAGCATGATTCCTCGCCAGTTCTTGCGGAGTGGGGCGTAAGTCGCCCTTCTTCGGTATTTTCACGAGGTAACCGTTCCTTCAGTCAGTAGGCACCTTTCGCTACTTCCAGAACTTTTGAAATAATAAAGTCAGCATATCTGTTGTCGTCTCTGGGTCTGCTTTCAGTGCCTCAGGGGGTATTCCATCTGGTCCAGTTGCCTTTCCCGCTTTCAGAAGTTTGATTGCGTTCAAGACTTCAGCTTTCGTTGGAGGATTGGTGTCAACTTGCAGTTGTGTGCGCGATGTTGTTGGTATTTCCGGACGGGTTGCAGGTGATGGTCGGTTCAAGAGTTCTTTGAAGTGATCCGCCCATTGTCGAATATGTTTTTCTTCCTTGGTAATTGGGTTCCCCTGGCTGTCTTTTATAGGTTTCGCTTGTGTTGATCTCTTCCCGGATAGAGATTTGGTTATCTGATATAGTGTCCTCAGGTCCCTTTTTCCTGCTGCCTTCTCAGCTTCAGTGGCCAGGTTGTCGTAGAATCGTCTTTTGTCCTTCCTAGCACTCTTCTTCACTTCTTTGCCCAGTGCTGTGTAAGTTGAGCTCAGCGTCTCCTTCTCCTGTCCGTCCTTGCATTGAATCATTTTCTCTTTCACCATTCTCCTTTCTTCCATTAATTTCCAAGTGTCCGTTGAGAGCCATTTCTTGTCTTGTCTCTTCTTTCTTCCTATAACCGTTGAACACGTTTCGTTGAAAATCACCTTCAGAGAGTTTCAGTGGTCCTCCACGCATGATTCTTCAGTGATGTCACGTAGTGTTTCCTGCCTTGCTCTGGCGATTGCAGTGAAAGTGTGCTTTGTTGTTGTGTCCTTCAGTTTTTGAGTACTTAACTTGCATTGTGGCCTATTCCCAGCTATCTTCAAGGCTTTTAGCTTTACCTTGAAAGTCCCTTGTACTAGATAGTGGTCTGAGCCGTCATCTGGTTCTCTTCTCGATCTTGTGTCCAGTAGGCTCCGTCTCCAGTTCCTTGAGATTGAAATGAAGTCTATCTGGTTTTTGGTGTGTCTATCTGATGAAATCCATGTCGCTTTTTGTATATCCTTGTGTTTGTACACACTGCCGTCAATCATCAAATCACTGAAGGCGCAGAAGTCTGAGAATTATTCTGCATTTTCCCACTCTGTTTTATGAATGCACGAATGTACAGCTATCTAGTTGATAACTTCGCCGAAAAGAACTTTTTTTCGCTGCAACCGACTTTTTATTATTCCCTGCAATCTGAAATCGGTTGAATCCCTATGAAGTAATACTTGGAGATATCACATGATCACAAAATTTAAAGAAACTTGTTGAGATTTTCATCTTTCACTTCATTGTTAGTTTACTTAACAAGAGTTGCTAATCAGAGAAACAATTCTCTCACCAAAATGTTACCTGCAAGAAAGTCTTAGTTAATTTCAATCTTTTTTGTTATTTGCCTACCTTTTTATCTTAGATTCAACCGTATCAACAACATTCATAAAATATTTTGTACAAAATGAACAATTTGAAACATTTGTCAAAACACATGCACTACCGCGTATTGAATATACCAAGTTGGTACTACGTCAAGGGACAAGACATCAAATTGAAGTGGAAGCTAAATTACTCCTCCCACCAGAACTTGATCCTGCACATATTACACAATATCCACTACTATTATACACGTAAGTCTTGGTCAAAATTTCTTGTAACTGATTAAAAGTGCCCATTAAATTTTTTTCTTCAAAAAAAAACGCTTACTTTTCGATAACTTGCACTTCATCAGGTTCTACATGTATACATACATAATAATGAATTAATGAATTAGTGTTATTAATAACATTCATGTTTAATGTTGCTCTATGAACTAGATTTTTTATGCTCAAGAACATCTACCAGAGTGGTTTAATAAAGGTGTAGTAAACACCATCAACAGTTTGATTTTAGACTACCTGGTCCAAACTGCCCGGCCACAAAGCCATCGGTGAAGAATCCTTCTATATCATTTGCTGGATACCAAATAAATTGCATAAAACATCAATGTACCACATGCTTTGAATAGCAGAGGTTATCACGATTCGCTTGAAGCAACAAGTGCTTTGCGTGAAAAAGAAGCACGTCTAGCCACTATTACTGCCCTGGCCTTCAGTGGAGACTATGAATTCATGAATTCAGAATAATTAACTTTCCTAATTTTTCTGACATTCCATCTATTGTTATGTTGATGTTATTGAACTGTAATCCAATGATATTACTCATTCTATATTATTTAAACAACATTAGTTTTGACCATAACATTAACTCATTCATTCACTACTATATACATATAAATGTAGAACCTGATGATGAATTTATCGAAAATGATATCATTTGTTCAGTGACCATTCTTTTGGAAAATTCATTGCTTTTTATGCCGAACACAATGAGATGTTAACAATCGTTGCAGTACATATTATATATTATTATTTCCTATCTATTGTGTCTACTGTGGAACACAGGGCTTTAGCTATACATCACTGTCGTCACTTCTGACAGGCTTCCTGACTGCCCAACGACTTTCATCTCCTAATCACATGATCGTCTCTGTGAAACCTACAGATGTATAACTGGTCACTTTTTATTCTTGTGACGTTCGTGGGCCTGGAGAGCTACATCACTTGAAAATCCCCTTTAGAGCACACTTTCAGAAATAGATTACTGGTTGACTGTCATAGTTTCCCGTTCCATATTGATCTTCTGATCTTCAGTATGTAATGAAGACGAAAGCTGTTGATGAAAGCCTGGAAAATGCTGTTGAAAATGCTTTATGTAACGCGAGCAGCGAGTCTTTGAAACAAACAGAATTGTTATCTCCATTCATCTGTATGAATAGTCGTACCAAGCAGCACTGCTCGTTAAATAGTAGGTATTAATACATTTGCACTCTGAATAGGGATCGCTTCAATGTATCCTTTGCGGAAGGTGGTGACACAGATACCCAATATCCATTGCTGATATGCGCGTAATCTGCCTCGATTATATCTTCCTTTGATTAACATGGTCTCATCAAAATGAACGGTGACGCCAAATTCTCCAAGTACTTGAGTCAGCGTATTCATTTTCCAGGATAGTACGCCTCTGCAGTAGTGGTACCACTGCACTGCAAACACTTCTGAATTTTGTGTTTCATAGGCTGTTGCTGTAACTGGTCTGTTCAGTAACCAGAAATCACAGATCATTAAAATTTTTGTTAACGGTAATTTAGACTTTGAGAAAAAAGTGCTTAAGGAATCTGTAAACTAAAATAAGAACAACATAACTTCTAGAATTGATTTTCTGTTTCGGCACTCACTTATCCTGTACACAAACCCATCAGTGAAGTTTGTTTATCTTTGTATACGCATGACACCTCCACAATGATAAATTTTCGACCTTCTAGTCAGTCCGTTCTCCAAACAGTAATCAAAAACTAGATCCAGAGCGAATTTGCAACTCCAAGGTGTAGAGCACACATAATTACGTCCGGATAATACGCAGTCACCTGATTGGTTGCTCAAGGTTATTTGTCCGTTTGCTCGGTAGTTTTGGTTTGTGCTGCTATAGTTTACATTTACCATGAATACTACAAGAAATAAACCAGAGAATGGGATGGACTAGGCATAAGTTCAAGTTTGAAAATAACGATAATAATAATGATTGTAAGATAATAATAATATTCAAATTATCTGACTATTGTTCCATCCCATCTCACCAATACTTGTTCCACAATACATTTTCTGATATGGTTCTAATTTGCCTTTACTCACTGTCTGGCTGGCTGGCTATTGTATGGATTCATAATTGTAGAGCCTGAATAAGAAGAATTTATTGAAACTGATAATTGTTCGCACTAACTATTTTATTCTGAATAAACTATGGGCATAATTGGTGGATGGTGACTAGCAGCGCAATCCAGGATGCGCGTTTTGTCGTATTTGGGACTCGTCATCTGGATGTACCTGCATTTCTCAGTGAGTGATGATGTTCCCACTGAGGCTCGAACCCAGTGCCCACTTGGGCCAAGTGGTCTAGTGGATAACGCTTTGGCGTTTGAAACTATGGGTACTGGGTTCGAGCCTCGGTGGGAACGTCATCACTCACTGAGAAATGCAGGTAAATCCAGATGACGAGTCTCAAATAGGACGAAATGCGCATCCTGGATTCCACTGCTAGCCACCATCCACCAATTGTATCCTAACTAAATGCCCAGACATTGTCAAAGCATCTGCACAAGAAGCCGGCATGTCAACCTGAGACCGAGCACTTCGGTCCAATCAATCGACGGGAAAATCAAAAAATCCAATTCTTTAAAACTATGGGCATATTCAGGATACAGATGGGTAAATTGAAAATTATCCTGGTGCTGAAGTAGGGTGAAGCAGCTATCCGATACTCCCCGAAAGAGTTTTCAATGTTTCTCTGACTGATTTCAATCCATGAACAAACTTGAAACGAATCAAATCCATACAGACCAATTCCTGAGAATTTATCTGATTCTTGCTGTTGAATAGCTACAAGATGAAACTGCCTGGAGTTCTCGAAAAGAGCTGTGAACAGTAGGTCCATGCAGACTAAGCATGAGAAATAACGCTCGCTGACGGAATGGGTTGGTTGTTGCAATAAAACCGACCGTTGGTTCGAGTCCCAACCAATGGTTGTTTGGTTAACGAGTTTGGTTTGTAATCGGAAGGTCATGGGCCAAAACCCCGTTGAGTGTGTTTTGCTGAAGGGTCTCAAACAAGGATGAGTAGGCGTTTCATTGTTCCTAGTTTGTTCTAAATGGTTCTCTAACTGAAATCAGTCTGTGGTGATTCCTGAAGAAAATTAAAACTCTGTAAACTAACTATTGAAGAATCCTTGTTTATTTAAAAAGACGATAGCCACATGAGTATTCCCAATATTTACCGTAATGCATAATCCGGTTCTCGACCGAAGGGCGTGTGTACTGCTCAGCAGTCTGCCCCATCCCTATTTATGGCTGTGAGAACTGTCCATTAAGAGTGGAGGATGTGAAAAGGCTAGCTGTCTTTGATCATAGGTGTCTGCGTTCTGTCTCCCATGTAAAGTAGTATAACAGGGTAAGCAATATCGAGGTTAGGTGTTGAATGCTAGGTAAGGAGGGGAAATCGATCGAGGACGCTCCAAAGCTACGTCGACTGAGATGGTTAGAACATGTGTTTCGCACGCCTAGTCATCGCATTCCTCGACAACGGGCAATGTTAGCTGACTGACATAGGATGGATTAGGTTGTTGGGAAAGGGGTAGCGGCGGTCAAACCAAAACATGGCACCAGTCAATGAAATCCACAACAGTTAGTTTAAGCCACGTAGGAAGGTGCGAATTTCCTGATTGGTTGGGGTCCTTGGGACGGTAAATCCAATGGGTGGTGATATGCCTCAAAATCGTTCTCAATGGCGCATAATCATCTATGCCTTGTGACTTATAATTTCCAGTTTTCTTTGATATTACTATTCTTTTTGCCTTGTATCTCTGTTTACTGTCGCTATTTTGCATTTCTTCTACTTTATTCTGTTTCTCTATGTGCTACATGCAGTGTGGCGGCTTAATCTGCTGCATATCGGTGCAATTTCTATGTTTCTATGTTGAGACCAGTCAGTCAGTCAGTTAGCCATTATTTACCATGTTTCTCTTTATTTCCTTCTTTGAATAAATTCATTATAGCTATGGAGGTCCAACAAATCAGGTGGTCAGTACAAAATTTGTAATCGATTGGATGACATATATATCAGCAACTGCAAAAGTTATTGTTGCTGTAGTTGATGGTCGTGGTACATCAGGTCGTGGAAGAGTTTATGAGCATTCCATTTACAAGAAACTTGGTTTAGTTGAAGTTGAAGACCAGTTGGACAGTGTTAAGTAAGTATTTAATGCAATTTAATGTAATTTTATACGGTCGCAAACATATCCTGTCTTAGAAATTGTATCCTCATGTGTACGCCTTGCTTCATATCCGGCACTCATTGGAAATCCTCATTCAGTATCGTTACAAGTGTATAGAAAGGTGATAAAATCTTTTGAAACAACTAAACACATTCGAGATCATCAGGAGAGTGGCTAATAAACTCGTTTAGAGTCCTAGCAATCCACTACATATTGAAATTAGCACTGAAAATGTTGTCCAGAAAGACAATAAAAGGTTTGTAACTAAACCATCCAACTCACAGAACACGACTGCACAAATCTAATCTTCAACGATCAAAAATGACTCGTTACGGTCTCAACTCAGGGAACTGACTATTGCATCCTATTGTACTAGCGGTCCAATACATCTCTGGGTCATGCATAGTCACAAAACGCTCCAAAGACAACTAAAAGATGGCTTGAATAAAGCGAGAACAACAGTCTTTTCAGAATGAAACGATACCATCACTTATTTCATTGGATTCTCAACAGCTACTTACAGCCCAAAGACACTATCAAGCTTATGTACACAAAGAATTTGCTCCGACATACTACATTCAAACTAGTGTCGACATCATCGAATGATCGAAATTCAGTTGTCAAATTCGAAATTAGATCCTGTTGAGTCATTATGTGATCCTGTAATATAAAGAAAGTTTTTGAGAGTGGGTGGTAGCTCTCAAGTACAATAGTGATTTAATGAGTCGACAAGGAATGCATTGAGATCGCGAGCATTCGTTGTAAAGCTTTAACCGAATTACCCCTCTATATATGTCCAAACCAAGTTCACTTTTAAGAGTTTGAAGAAAATTTTGGCATTGGGTATATGATATTCATTATAATAAAGGTTTTTTGTATTTCCTAATGAATGGAAAACAAAACGATGTTGTTTTTACTGACGTTTGGCTATTTAATGCAGCTAATGGCTTTATCAAAGTATTATTAAACCAGAATTTACAAAATCCATTCAGCTTAAATATAACAACTAAATCATCTTTCCTCAGCATGGGGTCATTTTCGCATTGTCAAAGTGGTCAGTTGGTAAAGATAATAAAACAAGGTGTAGATTGTTGGATTTGATGTGTGTAAAATTATAAAAGTGGCGTGTTTTTACATAATAATGAAAATGTTTATCACATTCATGTTGGTTTTGTCATTTCATGGGGGAGGGGGACACTGTTGTAACCAGGTAAAATTCTGTTCACGTTCATCATTCCTATTCAGACAATTGAGATTCCATATGATGTGAAGTGCTTCTGAGGATATAAGACGTTCTTTGTGATTTCTGAATTATGTTTTCTGGATTATTTCAATATTGTCAAAAATAATTTTGTGGCCTGATTCCATAGTTGGTGATTTTTCAAGCTTTTCTAGTTCAACTAGATTTCTCGGTGGTCGAACAGAGGTGGCTCCACGGTGTTGATTTCTTCTGATTTTGATTTCTCCCTGGCGATGTTTGTTCGATGTATATCGCATCACATTCCAAGCATTTTATTTTATAGACACAATTACTTCTCTGGATATTTTACAACGAACTGCCCTAAAGTGATTCAGTGACTTGAAAGATTTTGCGGGCAGGTGGTGTTTTACGAACTTTCTATACTTATTCTCCTCTATAAATTTCGAATAAAGCAGGAACAGCAGTTTGCGCGGAATACAATGGCACAACCATTAAGTTCTTCTGTCTACTCCTGTGTGCTACATGAGGTACTTAGCGCCTTAAACTGTTTGACTTCTGGGCAAATAGGGATGTTGCAAACCAGTCGGTCATAAACATTCACTTTATGCTAAGAAGTCAAGTTCACATTTTTATACAGTATTTGAAAATAAGTAGGTAAATAGAAAAAAAACTATAGATGAATAGATATCTGGTCTACAAGTCTGACATGCAGTGCACTGGTCTTATCCTTAGTCGAACTTTACATTCGGATTTTCTTGTAGTACTAACGCTAAGCATCAAATATAAATATATATATATATATATATATGTTTATGAACATAATGTCAGCTTTGGCCTTTCTTTCATTTCAGAGCCTTGATTCGACGCTATCATTACATAAATGAAAGTCAAGTCGGTGCTTACGGTTGGGTAAGTCAACTGATTTCTTTGTGAAACCTTTTTTAAGAGTACCTTCGATATGTTGTCACGTGATGTCTGCTTTGTTTTGACAGTCTGATATATTTTACTATGTGTATATTGATCGTTATTCCATTATAACTCACAATATATCCGTGTCTGTCCATTAACTAAATAAACAATGTATGACCCTTTCGTCACATAACATTAAAAGTATTGGTTTTTTAGGGATTTTGTTTGATTGCATGGAGGATTTAATCATAAGCTGACATCAGTTAGAGAACTACTGGAAAACCTGGGAATACTGGACAGCTGTTTCGTCCTAGTTTGGGACTCTCCAGCAGTAAGCACCCACCGGGATTCGAACCCAGGACCTTCTGGTTACAAGGTGAACTCGTAGACCATTGAGCCACTGGGACACGATCCAATGGTCCTTGAATTCTAACTTCTGCCAATTCACGGAATAGGGCCTCACTGGCCCTATTCAGGCAGTTAACCTGGGGTTCTAGTGGGAAGCCGTGACCAGTAGGGTACAGCAGGTTGAAGATAAGGCAGTAACTCATCGAAGAAGACATTGCGAAGTGGTCGCGATACGTCGTGAATTGGCAGAAGTTAGAAATCAGGGACCATTGGATCGGGTCCCAGTGGCTCAATGGTCTACGAGTTCGCCTTGTAACCAGAAGGTCCTGGGTTTGAATCCCGATGGGTGCTTACTGCTGGAGAGTCCCAAACTAGGACGAAATAGCTGTCAAGTATTCCCAGATTTTCCAGTGGTTCTCTAACTGATGTCAGCTCATGATTAAATCCTCCATGCAACATTACATTACAACCAATCAGAATCCAATGATGGTAAGAAAAACTACTGCCTATCTTAGTGGTTCATGTATGTTAGCCATTTTCTTATATACTCATGCATTGTACAGTTGAGACACTCTTTCACACCTTTCGTACACTACGTACCTTTTCACTCACACTCTTGTATGAAAATACACGTATCATGTGAACGTGGTGGTGGTCTTCTGATTTGCCTCTTCGCGTCAGGACAAATTAAGTACTCAGCAGTACAGTAACAGTCTGTACGTTATCGTCCGTTATCTCTCATTAGCGCATATTTATACTCGGTCATACCGTAATATTGGCAACGACCCCATAACTTATTTGCGACGAAACCATAACAACGTTGAAGCTTACATACCTAACAATATGTCCAAACGGACAGAGAAATAGTCTAACAGTTGATATGATCATTTGATCTGTTAACGTTGCTCAATGGTCAAATTCGGCACATCATAAATCTGCGAATTAACGACAAAAGTTGTGAATGAAATGGAAATTCTAAACTGTGGTTATTAGATAGTCAGAAGAAATCTGTAAGAATCCTTGGACATAGGTTTAGTGCTTGTTGCCTCTCGTCAGCAAGGCCTATGTGCGATAAATCTTGCTCAGTGTGCAGTAAATAAAAGGCTAGACACATAAAACTAGTCAGCATCTAATCAAAATATCTAACACAGTCCTGCAGCAGGTCAGCTGCCAGTCCGAACAGCTCAGCGGTGACATCTCTGACTGCGGCAGCACTGATTGACATGGGTTCTTTAAAAGAGTGCGATATGTTAGGAAGAGGCAAAACACGTGCAATTATCAGGTCATTATCATGTCTCAATCAAGTTATTAGCGTGTCGCTGACATGCATTTGTTTCTGCTTTCTGCCTGGACGCTTGCACAATTCCAAACTCTCAACCGGATTGGTTGATTTCCAGTCTACCTTATTTTCTGTATAAATACAGTCACTTTTGTCATATTAAATGATCCTGGTTTTACCGCTGATTCTCGCGTGTTCTGTTTTACCAGTTAAGTGGGCACTGGTCAGTAGTTAAGCAGTTACCTCCAGACAAAGATCCAGCATCATAACATATGCTTTGCTGACTTGTGAGTGCTAATAAGCACGAAACCCTAGGTTCAAGCCTGCCTGCCGATTACCTCCAACCACCTAATTACAACAATTCTGACTGCACTGTGATTGTGAGCCAATTAGCATAGTGGCCACATTGCAAACGTGACTGTAAGCAGTAAGCAATGGACTAGATACATAAGACTAGTTAGTATCTAACCAAAGGAAATACTTGCTGTCACAGAAAAGCGGATACATTAAGCGAAGTAAATAAATGTGAATTTAGTTGCCTGGTGGTGCCTAGTATTGGTGCCTGGGATGTGCGTTTAGCTATATTTGACACTCTTCCGTTCGTATCAGCATAAATGTTGGAAGTGACACCTAGTTTCCGCATATATATATATATTTAATAGAAACAATTCAATATGATGGAGGAAAGTTATACAATATCGGCGACCATACCACGTTGAAAGCACCGGTTCTCATCCGATCACCGAAGTTACGCAACGTTGGGCCCGGTTAGTACTTGCATGGGTGACCGGCTGGGAATACCGGGTGTTGCCGGCTTTTTTTGTGTGCGTCGGTAGCACAGTGCTTAGGACTCTTGCCGACCACGCACATGGTCCGAGGTTCTAGCCCACGCCGACGCACACCTGATATCTATGGTCTGCCTGCAAAATTTAGGCTACCGATATCCATGCTGAAAATGCCATACTTGTACCAAAAATACGGTGTGGAATCAAGCTGTAAATCAAAAAAAAGATTTCTGTGGGAAAAAAGAGGAAAAGAAACAGTCATCTAAGACAAGGTGGTCGGTATATTGTTCCTTTTGCACCACAGTCCCCACACATAAATCAGTAAATTATATGGAGAAAGGAAAAAAGTATGTTCCGCTGAAATTCCTATTAGAACAAGAACTTTATTAACTCTAAGTTAATCACTTATAAACTGATGCGATTACTTACTAGTATAAATATAAATAAAAGTTATATAACCTTGACTCTCAGACTTCATTAGCTAACGCCAGTTAATGAACCAGATAAAATTAATCTGAAGTAAAAATAATTCTGTGGTCAGGGGTTTCTTTGAAGTATGCACTGTCGAATTTTTGTATAAGTGAATTCAACGATATTATTATTTTCTTCGTTTTGCGAGAGGGGAACATTGGGTCTCACTAATGCACCAACAGTTCACTCTGGTATGTTTAGTCATCTTTAGCCGGCATCCTGATTACCTATAAGCTGGTATTTCTTCCTTACACAACCTCCACCACTAAGCCATTCTCAGACCAACTACCAACTCACTGTTTCCCATCGAGGTTAGGCTAGAGGGTGTAGCGCAGTACGCCAATTCTTCAGTGTGTGTCCAACCCATCTGCGTTTCATTCTGCATATTTATCTAGTGACAGAACTCAAATATTTCACGCTTTTATCCCCTTTTCCTCATACATATACATGTAGGTTAAAGTTTGCTGACGCAATCCAACCCTTAGTCACTTTAATTGGTGTATATTTAACCTTTGAATTCCATTTTTATGCTTCTAACATCAAAACCGTGCTAATGAAGCATCATCTTTCAGCAAATTTAGTAAGAGTTACAAAGGTTACTAGATTAAATTTCAATTCCAGTTTATAATATGCCTAATTGAATAATAGGTATAAATAAATACAAAATACAGAAAATTAATTTTAAACAAAGGCTCATACGGTGTTACTCACGTGCTGGAAGAAAACGTAGTCTTTTTCCTGAAAGACTTTTGTAATTGAGCTTACCTGTAATAAAATTATTTAGATCTAATTGTAAATGAGAAGACTTAGCGATCAGAAAAGAAATTCAATCACTAGGCTTATCTGAGATAAGCGATACAACACTACTGCATACTTTTATACGATGTAACCCGAAATAAAGGGGGTAAGATAATCATTTAACAGGAAAAGTGAACATAGTTCAGGTCCATTCAAAGTTGAAGAAAATACTGTCTTTTCTTCTGAAGACAAACATTTGCATCGGTGAGCGTCAGAGTATGACAGTTTGCCAAGAGACACTGTCCGAAATTGAGGTATAAAGCGTTCATCAATTGAATATGTTCAGAGATTGAATCTTTTATAGATGAACCAATGCTAAATAATTTCAGAGAGGGACAAAGTCGTTATCTTTGTGAAGAATTATCGGTGATCTGTTTATCAAAAAGGGTACATCAATATCTTTAATAACAATTGCTAAAGCCACTGCAAACCAGGGAGTACTGAATAAATGTTTCTTCCTAGCTTGGAACTCTTCAGGGCTCTAATCCAGGAACTTCCAGTTTCTAAGAAAGCTCGTAGACCATTCAGCCATCAAGATTCAATCCAGTGGGCCATGAATTCTAAATTTCACTAATTCATGGTTTAAGCGCAACTGACAACAGCCAACGTCATGGCTGGCAAGTATCTTTCCTCACGTCCCACTTGCCGCTTGCTGCTGAAGTGTCGCAAACTAGGGTGAAACACCTATGTGGTGTACTCCCTGAGACTTTTCAAAGGTTCTCTGACTTTTGTCAATCGTTGATCAAACTTGAAACAAATCGACTTCTTACAAACCAACTCGTGGAGATCACAAAAATCCAGGAAAATCTAAGTTTCAACCTTCCTTGAAGATGACGCTTGTAAAAAATCAAACGAACGGTCACGCTGGCTCTAATCTGCGAAATTCATGTAATACGTATTTGTCTGATTATTTTGAATATTCTTTTGTAGGAGGAAATTTACTTTTATTTCTTTTCCTCATTATTTCAAATATTAATGTAGTCTTACGGTGGATTCACTGTTGGCCATCTAATCACTAGACCAGAGAATGAATGGATTCGATGTGGGATTTCAGTTGCTCCAGTTACAGATTTCAGATATTATTGTAAGCATTATTGTGTAATGTATACTTATTGCCAGATGTTTTGATAAAACTGTCTACAATCTGCCTGAACCTGAAAATGCAGGAATTTGTGCTTAAGCAGTAAACAGAGATACAGTGGTGTGTAGATGATGCTATGGTAACCTTTCTATACTGACAGATAACACTAGGAAGACCTTCTAACTGAAATTTTTAGGCAGATAAATACATTCTGGTAATTGCACTTGTTGAGATGCAAGCAATTTATGTAATTTTTAAGGGAAAACATGACAGAGCCCATTTCGTCCACTATATTACTTAATCTTTTGATGTGTCAACATGGATCCCTCTTTTTAACTGTTTACAACCTGAACAATACAAAAATGTGATATTCAAGTGTTGGTTTGCAGGGATTTGACTGGTTACAGGACTCCATCATGACATTGGTTAAAGAACCATTGGAAGACCAGAGGGCAGTACTGGATTGCTGTCTCGTCCTTGTTGCTCTGGACTCTTCAGTAATAAGGATACACCGGTAGAATTCGAGCACAAGAAAGTTCGATTACAAGGCAAGATCGTTGACCATTCAGATGCGGAGATCCGATCTGATGGCTCGTGAATTGCAACTTCTGCTAAATCCCAAAAGATATAGCGTGACTGGCACTGGTCAGAGTCTACACTGGCAAGTATTTGTACTCATACCCGATATGCTGGACCCTACCGGTCACGACTTCCTAATAGAATCCAGGTATCTACCTACCTGAGAATGGCCTGTCGCCAGTGAGCATCAGCTTGATATCCAACTGTAGGTTTGCGGAGACCTGACTGGTTACACAAGCTGACATCGGCTACTAGTCATCACTCGCAACTAGTTAAATGAATAAATTGCCTGATTTCATAGTAAGAGTTTTCGATCATAAGTGTCCACCAAGTTGAGCGTGACGACAGATTCTCACGGATGACACTGACCATCAACCACACTATTGACCAAAATTTGACAAAAGATAGAATTGAAAGGTTTCTAAATTATGTCCTTATTGGTTCTTCTTGAAAACTGAAGCTCAAGGGTTGAATGTCTGGTTAGGTCATGAATGCATACTGCTATAAAGTGTCAGACAAAGGAAAAATAGCTGTCAGATGTTCAGAACGCAAAGATCCTAGACCTGTCGCTGTTTACAGAAGACTGAGCCTAATCCACCGAATTTTGTGCACAGTAACCGACGCCGAACGAAGGAAAACAGTTGAGAAATACAGCTGTTCGTTCTTAAAACAATAACGAAACGGATTTACAATAGTTAATCAGTCCCAGAGTTTGTAAGTAAGCGTTAATGTATTATACAGTAATACTTCCGATTGTATTTCTCGAACCTTCTGCCAACTAGTATGCGATTATGAAATGATAGCCTTCTTGTTTCCCGCCAGATGGAGGCCGATTCGAATAAACAAACGATTCAATGTTCACTAGCATTGACAACAGCTAGCCAGTACTCTCTGGTTTCCAATAGGTCTCTCTCTGGGTGACTAAAATCATTTCTTCATCCATATTGAGATGACATTATTCGTCCCATTAACAAATAAAGTAAAACTTTGGCTTGATGAACTCTACTTTTATGTGAATAATCAATCTTATTAAATGGTCGAAGTCAAACGGCAGGAAGATTTGAATTTAGGTTTTTTTGATAATCAACACTTTTGAGAGATTGGATGGCGGTCCCGGAGAGTGATTCAAAATTTAATCACTTCATACTGCATTGAGAGATATGACTACTGAACCTCAGAATAACCGCATGTAGGATTGTAATGCTGAGACTGATTCGTTATTCAAGCGGTGCCACTAAGGAGTTGACACAAGATAATGGATACACCCTAGTATGCAATTAATTTAAATTACTTGTAGTTGAACGGTTCTTTGTACACTGCGTCGATAGCACGATGGTTAGCACTCCCGCCGACCATTCACATGGTCCTGGGTTCTATTCCCTGACGACGCACACGTAAAATCAATGGTCGACCTGCAGATTTTGGACTACCGATATCACATACTGAAAATTCCACACCTGTACCAAAAATACGGTGTGGAGTCAGGCTAAAATCAAAGTTTTAAAAAATTACGATTTCATTATGTTTTGTCCTTGTTCACAATTTGTTAAATTTTTTCTGTCTACTTTTTTTCATGTATCTATTTGTAGCAACTGTATATACTGAAAGATACCTTGGCAGATTTATTAACGATCCAGATGCATATGCAGTGAGTGATTTATTGAAATTATCACTTTTAATTCATGTTAATCAAATGATATATATATGGTGCGTACTACTGACAAGATTTATCAGTAGTATATAAAGAGACATTCACCGGTACAAGAATATCTGATAACGAAGAGACAGATTTGACAACAAAGAGAGAAAATGAACCACTGTAGCAGCGGCGAAACATGAAAGGCATGAAAAGAAGACAAAGATATACAATATGAAGGGCAGAAGCATCACAACACAATGGATCTGTGCAAATGACCATTTTCATAAAAAGTGGACATAATTATTTTTTAATATTTTTGATTACAGCTTGATTCCACACTGTATTTTCGGTAAAAGTATGGAATTTTTGGCATGGATATCGGTAGCCTAAATTTTGCAAGCCGACCATAGATATCAGGTGTGCGTTGGCAGGGGATCGAACCTCGGACCATGTGCATGGTTGGCGATAGTCCTAACCACTAAGCCACCGACGCACAATATGGAGATATTAAATTCCAATCAAAAGTTCCGTTGCAAGTCTAGTACCTTCTACTTTTATATATATATGTACGCATAAGTATATCACAGTGGCACGTACCAGATAGCCCACAACGGAATACTTAGTGTGGAGTCTAATGGGAATCCAGACAACGCTGCTAGTCTACAATCATCAATGATATTTCAAGCTATGGCGGAATGGATTCTGCATCAGACTGTGACTGGAAGCAAAGGGATAGGGAGACGTTTGGCCGAAAAGAAGACTCTAAAGGATCTGAATTTTGTGGATTACTTCTATTTAGTGTCATGTAAACTCGAAGACTCACAGGCCGAAATCAACAAACTCGAAGAAGCAGCAGAATATACATGACTTTCAGTTGACAAGGAGAAAACAAGGGTAAAAAAGATACCTACGCAACAACAAAAACAACTAACACTGATTACTATCAACGTGAGAAATTTGGAAGAGGTCACTTCCTTCACAGATCGAAATCTATTGGAATTATGAACTGTTATCAGTTTGATATTTAGAAGACAAATTCCGCGAGATGATATCGTCATTTCGTAGTTTCACCACAACCGCTTGATAACTAACATGGTTAAAAATGATAAAATAAAGATCATGACAATTACTCAGTTAAATAAAAACAAGAGTACATACTAATGAACGATCATATTTAGATAGGTCAAGTAGTCCATGGCAGGTGAAGATTGAAGTCTGTTGTTTTTTGTACATATAGTTTAGGCTGTATCTGATCAATCCAAAGTGATTCCATCAATTTCACTAACCTTAAATTAGAGTTAAGTGAAAAAAAACGCACATTCTAAGCTGCATCTCTTTCTCTCGCATCCCGGGCAATTTCGATCACTGAACCTTTGATTAACGGACGAAGTTCTGTGGATTCTATTTCAAACGGTATCAACTCCACACCCCGTATAGGTGGAACCAATAGAATGTGCCTATGTGGTCGTCTAAAAGAACATGTGCCAAAGTGCTCATTAAAGCACATAGTAAATCCCAATGCAATAATTAGTCTGAATAGAAATCCAGCATCATCCATTGCAAAACACTTATGAATGTCTGGTCATAAAATCAATATGAATGACTGTTTCACAATTATTTCACATAACTCTAATTCAAGGTTGGTTATTGAAGGTGATGGAAGCACTTTGGATTGATCACACACAGCCTAAACTGTGTGTACAAAAATCAATAGACTTCAATCTCCGCCTACTATACCATGGATTACTTGGCCTATTTAAATATGATTGGTCATTAGTATGTACTTTTGTTTTATATAACTGAGTAATTGTCATGATCTTTATTTTATCATTGTTAACCATGTTAGACATTTATAAAGTTATATTTGTAAAATCTCAGCGAGTTAAAATGATTAATTTCAACGTTTTGTTCAGCAATCTGGTCCAAACTTCTTCTTTATAAATGTCTACTTCTCACTCAGCGCTCAATTATTTTGCAACTATCCGGTCAAATCTTGATCACAGTTCATAAGAGTTAACCATGTTAGTTGTAAAGCGGTTGAAAAGAAACTATGAAATGACAATGTCATCTCACGAAATTTGTCTTCTAAATGAATTACTCAAAATTAATATTTATGATTGTTCAAGACTCTTCGGAAACCTGAGAACATCTTTAATTAGAGAATAGTCTGGGTTGGTCATAATGACGTAATCTGCGCACATATGAATACATTTACCTTATCGCCTCTGAATTTGAAGCAATTTACCTTATGAGATCACAAAAGTGAATATGTTTAGCAAAGTTAGCATCTCTGATGAGAATTTTTACCCCATGTTTGCTCAATGTTTTTATTTCTTTTTTAACAAAGTTTTGAGTTTTACTTTTATTTCTCATTTCAGCGTACTGCTATTAGAAATGTTAAGAATTTAGCTAACAAAGGATATTTACTAGTTCATGGAACTGCTGACGGTAAGTATCATAGCTTGGCTGTATGACAGTCTTTCTGGTCAAAATAACCATTATTATACGGTTTATACGGTTATTATACGGTTTATTTTACATATAATAATAACAATAATAATTTTTCCTTCACGTTCCCAGTGGAACATAGGGCTCCAAGCTAGTGGCTTGAAGTTTCTGTAGCAGTGTTTAATTTTTACAGGATGAGGTTGCTAGCCTCATGTCCAACCTTTCCTCTTTACCAGGATTATTTTTGGCTCAGTGAGGTAAAGGAGTGCGCCGGCCGGGGATCGAAACCCGGACCATATGCATGGTCGGCGAGCGCGCTAACTGCTATACCACCGACGCACTTTCATTTTACATATATTGAAAGTTATATCTAACAGTATATGGTATCAATCGTCTACTACTACTATATGTGGAAAAAGTGATTGATTAAATGCAACCAAAAAGTGCTTAGATGGACCTTTATATCAGGAGAGAGTTAAATCAATGCTTCACTAGTAAGTAGGTTAAATAATATGATTACATCCCTTCGATTAAATGAACATTTCTTCATAAAATCGGATAGACGTCATAAACATTCCATTATTGTCAGGCGTTAGTTTCTAGCGATCTGCTTTCCTCTAGGTTTCATCTTGGATCCATGTTAGTCAGAAAACCTTCAAAAGCCATTAGATGGTGGTTGTGGTAGAACCAAGAATCGGTGGAGAGTGGAATTCATAGGCCATTGGATTGGATTCTATTCTTTATTTCAATGGATTGATAAATTTTGATGAATACTTCATGCCACTTAGTCTACTTAATTACCTACCACCTAAGAAGCGTTTAACACTCTTGAAAGAGTTGGTTTTGTAGTGATTTGACTGATTGGTTATATTGGTTATTATTGAATTTAGAATGGAAATATTCCACATATAAGCATACAGAAAAATTATTTGGTCCTCAATAAATCTTGAAATAAACTGAATGAACAGAACTTTAAATCAGTTGAAAATCGTTTTATTTATCTCAGAATTCAATGCTTTTCAACTTTGAATAGTATTCGGATTTTAGCCTAGGAACATATAAGTCAGTTAGTTGATTATTTTCTCAGTCACTGAGAATTTCAGTCAGACGATTAACATCACATAATCACTACTATTGCATCATTTTCTGCTTTTCCCGTGTAGATAATGTCCACTTGGTTAACACAGCTAGACTGATAAAAGATCTGATTGCTGCAAGTGTTGATGTCGATGTAATGGTAAGTCACAGCTAGAGTTAGTTTTTTAATCTCTCTCTTTGGCATTTTTGTTTCCGAGTAATGTTAAATGTATCGGTGCCTCAACGGTAGAATTCTTGCAAACCATGCCGAAAGGTTCAGAGTTCGATTGCGGGCGGATGTACTCCTGAACTTTGCCTAGTCAACTCGCCGACAGTCAGCCAGGAATAGATGGAAGGTAGTGCGTGAAACTATAAACTCAACCTCACAAGAAGCAGTTTCAGGATTGCCGAGATTCCCGAAGCCTATATTCTAATCAGTGAACAAAGTGATGAAAACAAATTAATTCCAGTCATGCTGAAATTGTTTAGCTGCTGACATTTTCTACTAAATTTTGATAAACGTCGATGCATGTGTGTATATGGACCAAGGGAATTACCCACAAATAATACTTTTGGGTGTAATCGAAATATTCTTCAGCCTTTTGCTTTTTTATTCCTTTACGTTCGCTGCGAAGCATAGGGCGGCTTCAGACTAGAGTTGTGATGTTTTGGTAGCAGTGGTTTTTATTTTTATGGAGTGGGGTTGCCAGCGTAACGCCCAACCTTTCCTGTATGTAGAGCTTACTACCCATTAGGAGATGTTTAGGAGTGCGTTGGTCGAGAATCGAACGCTGGACCATGCACATGGTTGACTAGTGTTCTACCTCTCAACCACCAACGCACAAAGTCAGCTCTTCAGCTGGCAATCGAACTCAGGCCTTCCACATGACAGACGGAGATGTTCCGGGTTCAGTTCTATAATCTAAGTGACTGTGAACCGATAAAAGGGGTATGCTAGAGGCTGTACTGGTATATTAATTTGTTGTTTTTCTGTTCCTTGAGCTTGATGGTTGAATTATGAATCACTGATTGTCCTTCTAGACAACCTTTTTAGGAAAATGCGAAAATTTTGTGACAGTTATCTTAGTTCAATATCAAGTGATAAAACAAATAATTGTTTTCATTCTTTTACGTTCCCAGTGGAACCTAGGGCATCAAGCTAGAGGTCTGAAGATTCAGCAGGAGTGGTGTTTATTTTTTTTATGGGATTGGGTTGCTAATCTCACCCGCCAAGCTTCCGTCTTCACCAGTCTTTTTACTGGCTTAGCGAGGAAAATAAGTTCGTTGCCTGAGAGTCAAATCGTGGACCATCTGAGTGGTTGGCGAGCATCCTACTACTGTGCCCCCGGCGCACGATAAGACAAATAATGTCATATATAAAATAGTTGATAGAATGTCTGGTTCATTGGAAACAGAGTTAAAATTAATAGGATTGTTAGACGATTAATACGTTAGGTAATATGATAAGAAGTTTGACAAGGGAAAGTTTAACATTGTCAAATATTTATTCTCAAGTACTGGTTTTGTAGGGATTTTTTTTGATTGCATGGAGGATTTAATCATGAGCTGACATCAGTTAGAGAACCACTGGAAAACCACCAAGGAGTACTGGACAGCTGTTTCGTCCTAGTTTGGGGCTCTTCATCAGTACGCACCCACCGGGATTCGAACCCAGGACCTTCTGGTTACAAGGCGAGCTATGTCGTGAATTGGCAGAAGTTAGAATTCAAGGACGATTGGATCGGGTCTCAGTGGCTCAATGGTCTACGCACTCGCCTTGTAATCAGAAGGTCCTGGGTTCGAACCCCTTTGGTGGGTGCGTACTGCTGAAGAGTCCCAAACTAGGCTGACGAAACAGTTGTCCAGTACTCTTTGGTGGTTTTCCAGTGGTTCTCTAACTGATGTCAGCTCATGATTAAATCCTCCATGAAATATTTATTCATTTAAAACAATAAATGGAACAAATGAAACAAAAACTGGAAACTACTCAAATTAACAGTAATAATAACAGTTGTAATAGCAAGTAGTAAATGTTTATCTCACTCCAGCTAACGAAGAAATAGGCATTTGACATACTTATTTGACACACCGAGGTCTGATTTGAATTAATAGATGGATAAGGTATCCGCTGTCTTTAGAAATTTAGAACGAAGACAATGCGGTAAGTCAGCATTAACGCGACAGATGGTCTCAAAATCCTAGTTAGGGTTCGTTAGGGAGGTAAGAATCAGTCGAATATTCTAGAATACAGATTCACACACCCTTCTTTTCGCTCCCTTGTAAAACTCTGCTGCAGCATGTCCTGGTATCTGTGCAGAAAGCATTCTCTCGCCACGTCCTATGTACCTTGCTCCAAAGAAGCAGGTGAATTGACGTATGTTGTGATTGCCTCGCAATAGGCTAATTTCTGTTTGAGTCAAAATTGTTCAGAAAATACACTTTTTTACTGATGGTTTACTGATGATTCATTCTGAGTACTTCTCGATTTTATTAGGGGTAAACTGGGTGACGAAAAGTGTGTTGACTGGCAATTTTCATTCAAGTCTCAGTGACGTATGGTATCGATTTAGTGTTACACAGTGGTGAATATTTTGGCGTTAGTATAACTATGGGTGCCATGTTTGACTACCAGTAGGGACTACTAACCAACAGGATGAAATACATGTCCCGATTTCTAACTCTAGCCGGCTAATAAACGAAAATAACATCATGGTTTCTATGATGAGGATAATGATTATGATGGAATCATTTTGGTTGACAGTGGAATCCAGTCTGCTTACTTCGTCTTATTTCAGACTTGTCATCTGGATGTAGCTGCATTCCCCAGTGAATGATGATGCTCCCACAGTAACCCAAACTAAGTATCCATCGTTTTAAATGTTCAAGTATAATTCACTTGGCCAAAAGGACAACGATGAGTGTAGGGTTCAAGTTTTTCTGGGAACGCCATCACTGACAAGTTTGAAAAAGAATGAAATGCGCATCGTGGAAATTCACTGCTAGTCATCATTCATCAAATAGGATAATTTCAATCTTTAGACGTCAAAAAAAATGCCAATACTAGGAGCAGAAATGTCAGCATTTATGGTCCATTCAGTTAACGGGAAAAACAGTGTAGACTTAAACAACTAATGATGATTGTTCTGTTTATTATCTTTTTCTGTTCTTTGTTAGACAGATTATTTTAATTACCACAGTTTCTGCCCTGTTCGGTACAAAACAGCCTTAGTAAGGTGCCTTTTCAGTAGAATCTAACTAATATACATCGTAGACGCACTTGATGAGGAAGAAGGAATGTTTACATAAAGTCTAGTTGATAATAATTATCCAGACAAGTTCATCAGGAGATATGAAGTTGTCAGTGGAACACCAAGATCCACTCTCCAACTCACCCATAAGAAAGACATGTACACCCATCTTCCATATAGGAGTGATCTTAGCAGCTTGATAATTCAAAAAATATGGAACGCTGCTGTTGAAAAAACTTTTGATACATCTTATATCATAATAATTGAGAATGTTAAACCATTATATCCATCTAAGCCCTTTTAACATGCGAAAAATGATGTCAAATCCCAATGTATTTGCCAATTTGAATGTAAGTGTGAACACACATACACAGAGAGGACTCATCCTTCTCTCTAATTGCAGTCTAGCTTCAGAGCATATTCTCTGAAGGCTCCAGAAGCGAATACACTCCCTGAAATCCATTATTGGTGGGAACAAGAGATCTAGCTCCCCTATTGTGTAACATAATAATGAGACAGGACATAAAAATGACGATAACACATCTTTTAAACCTATCTATAAAACGCACCTACGGGAGGGCGTATCCTAAAGTTTGTGGAAACCCTAGCTAGCAATTAGGAAGTTAAAACCACGTTTATGCGTTCATCAGAAACAATTCATCATCAAACTAAGCCATCCCTGGTAAAGTTTCTTTTGATACCACCCAGAGTAGATGTGCTATTATCTCTGTTATTTGATTTAGCGATCTTCATCGTTATTGCTACCTCGAATATGTCCTTTTAACTTGACCTGTGTCTATTTACGCACCTCTTAACTCTTTATTAATTTCATATATACATAGCCTATGACAAGTCGGTGTGTGTGATCAGATTGTTCGAAATGTGTTGCACAAATACATCACACACACACAATTCAGCCAAATCACGTCTTCTTATTACTTTGTCTAAGTTTTTGTATTGTGTTTTCTTGCTTTTACCAACAGATTTATCCGGATGACAATCATTTCTTGTCCAAGGGAAGAAATCTTGAACATCTTTATCGTAAAATGACAATATTTCTACTCGACTGCTTCAATAAAACCTCAGTTAAATATTCCTTGGATTTATCAGTTAAAGATGATCTGTAAATGAGGACCAGGGTATCTGGAGACAGAGTGAGATAGAGCATGGAGAAAGCATTCAGTGACCGACCGACCGACACACATCCATACAAGCGGCAACTTGTCAACTTTTAAAAGATGTTAAAACTTAATCTCTGTTATTTTTTAAATTCTCTATTTCTTCTAACTTTTTTTCCTGGTGTTTTAAAACCATAAAATCCCACTCAATTAATCTATTTGTTTGTATAAAACACTGTTATTAATTATAATTGTTAAATCTTTGTTTATAAAATGATATTGATCATGTTGTATGACTTGTCTGATTGGTTAGTGGGAGACATTTATCCAAAATCAGATCAGATCAAATCAGATCGGATCAAGTGTGTGTAGATATTAAACAACATTAGCTAGCCGTGATATACACATATAAATGCATATATTACTAAATAACTAACTAACTCACTTCTCTTTCTTCCAAAGGCAGTTATGTGATGATTATTCAGTCCTTACCACTATTATTACTATCGTTACTGTTATTACTATTATTATTGATCTTTTTATAAACTCTCACAACTATCACACTGAAAGAAACCAAACTAAGAGACACAAAAAAGATCGATTGAACCGATCCTTATTTCATGATGTATAAAAAAATGGTCAGCAATATTTGGATTGCGATGTAGTCTTCAATCAACGTGGATGTCATATCCACACTGTCACACATATATACACACTATACATAACTACGTATACATGCATAATTGGGAAATTATGTGTAATCATCTCAATGTTTAGAAGTCTATTTAGTTTCCCTTCTTCATTTGATTCTTCCGTTTAGTATTTCTACGTTTTTCCAAATTATTTCACTTTCTTTTTTATCATGATTAATGTTATTGCTCCTTTTTTATATACATATATATATATATATATATAATTACGAATTGTGGGAGAAAAATAAATGTTCTCCTTCCAAATGTTGGTTTACAGCAATTTGATTGATTACGCTTTTGGTCATCAGGTGAAATCGGTTAGAGAACTAACGAGAACCAGCATGGAATACCGATGAGCTGTTTTGCCGTCAGCAGTACTCACCGATAACCGGGGTTTTAACCTCACAACCTTCGGTCTACATGACGAACTCTTGGATAACTCAGCCATTGGGAACTGATATTATGTCCTGGGAATTCCAACTTCTTCTTCCAATCCGTCAGTCAGTAACTGTTCTCTTACCACCGTGGCCTACGACTTCCGACTAGAATTACAAGTAACTCCGTATATACAGGCAGTCAGATTCTACTTTCAAGCTGTTTGGTGTATAGGGTATAGCAATGGGATTGACAATGTCCAGTTCATCTTTGATATAAGAATAGAATTTGTGCGCTATGGTAGGGTATAATTCAATTGTGGGTAAAATTTATTTTGATAAAGTCTCACAGTGGTGTTATACAGTAATATTTACTGATGACCAGGTTTCGAGCACAGTTTATTACTGCTCATAATCATATGAAGGCATTACTCACACAACTTTCTAGTATTATGCGTGATGAGTCATTCCTATTGATCTTGTTAGGTGTAGACTCCATGAGTGAGGATTTATCGATTCTATTCACCGAGTCTATAACCAACACGTACAATAGGAATGACTCATCACCAACACCAGAAATATAGAAAATACTACTACCAGTTAAACAAAGTTAGAAAGTTGTGTGATAGACTTGATATGATTATGAGTGGCAATAAATTGTACTCGGAACGTGGTCATCAGTGAATATTACTGTATAACACCACTGTGAGACTTTGTCAAAATGAATTTAACCCAATTGGTGGATGGTGGCTAGCAGTGGAATCCAGGATGCGCATTTCGTCATATTTGGGACTCGTCATCTGGATGTACCTGCATTTCTCAGTGAGTGATGATGTTCCCACCGAAGCTCGAACCCAGTACCCATAGTTTCAAACGCCAAAGCGTTATCCACTAGACCACTTGGGCCACGAGAGCCACCTCTTGTGCAACGGGTCATATTAATTATTGAATTGAATTTTTGATTTTCCCGTCGATTGATTGAACCGAAGTGCTCGTGGCCCAAGTGGTCTAGTGGATAACGCTTTGGCGTTTGAAACTATGGGTACTGGGTTCGAGCTTCGGTGGGAACATCATCACTCACTGAGAAATGCAGGTACGTCCAGCTGACGAGTCCCAAATAGGACGAAACGCGCATCCTGGATTCCACTGCTAGGCACCATCCACCAATTGTATACTAACTAAATACCCAGACATCGTCGAAGCATCTGCACAAGAAGCCGACATGTCAACCTGAGACCGAGCACTTCGGTCCAATCAATCGACGGGAAAATCAAAAATTCAATTCAATGAATTTTACCCAGTTCATCGTATTTTGGACGTGTCAGCCGGATGTACCTTAAATGTCCACTAGCGGAGAGACGGTGTTTCCAGTGTGATTTGAACTCAGTGCCCATCGTTTTAGATACCAAAGTGTTATCCATTAGGATACTTATGCCACCAGTGTCATCACAAAATAAGCTTGCATAAATTCTCATTTAATGACTAGTCAGTTTGACAGCAACGGAATGAGCTATACTGCTTTCACATAACAATGTATCTCTATGCAGAATAAAATAAATAACATTCGATAGAGTAGCTTGGCAGTAAAATTGAAACTAAAAGATCACAAACCCGAGATGGATAACATATATATTGGCTAAAGTAAAACAATGCACAGAAAATTCACATTGGAATATATTATTGTTGACTGTCATTAATAACCTCTGTGTTATGATTATAACACATGCCTTCAACTACACATCTCTGGGCAGTCCTCTTTAGCTTGTCCCATGATTGTCCATAGGCTGTGATCTTCTCCTCGTGCGACATCATTCATGTAACCCAATAAACCCACGTCCAACTCATCGTTTCGGGTTTCACTTGAGCGGCAAACCCAACATATGATGTCACTCAACGATCTTCTTAGCCTATGTCCGGTCAGTCGACATTTATTTCGAAATGTTTATTGAAGAGTAAGTTCTTCGTTGTTTCATTGCCACAGTTTCTAGATGATAATTCTTTCTAGCCATTCAATCCTCATCTGTTTAAAAGACTACAGCCTATTGGGAACGCTTTCCATGACGCATCCGCCAAACTTCTGACCTATATAGAAGAACAGACTGACTGAACATTTGTGTTGAGAATGCGGATTTCGTACTTTATACTGCGTGGGGTAGATTTTCAAACTAACTACAGGCTGATGAAGATTTGCCTTGCCTTTCCAATTCTGGCTTTGACATCATCCGTTCAGCCTGTAGTCTCAATGATACCTCCTAGATTAGCATAGGCAGTTACCTCTGTCAAACTTCTTCCGTTGATAGTAATTGGTGCTGATTGTTGTTGGTTGTCAGCTGTCTTCATCACCTCCGTCTTTTGCAATGTTCACTTCAGGTTCTGTCTTCGCTGTCTCCTTCTTCATCCAATTTGTTGGTTTTTGCCCTTTAAGTCCTAGGAAATATAGGAAGTGGAAACGAGTGGCTGAGCAAACAGCCTCTTTACGACGAATTCACTACTTATATATATAAGTAATAATGTGAAATGTGGTGAAAAAAGTGATTGCTTGGTTATTCACTTTACGAAATAACTCACCAAACGTATAAACCTCAAAGGCGAAGTAGAAATAATAAGATTAGCAAGCACTCAAAGCATTACACAATAAGATAATAATTACTGGTAAGACAACATTTCGAAACCTAAATTATATTGCATTAAATAAATAGATTAAGGGTTTCTACCTCCTTTACGTTCCCAATGGAACATAGGGCTTCAAGCTAGAGGTTTGAAATTTCTGTAGTAGTGGTGATTATTTTTATGAGATGAGGTTGCTAGCCTCACGCTTCAAGCTTTCCTTCTTACCAGTCTTGTTACTGACACAGCGAGGGAAAGGGGTGCGTCGGCCGAGGGTACGTAATGATTTGAGCAGGTTATTTCTCGCCTCATAGGTAACAGCAAAGAAGGAGGTTGTAGAAATGTCCAAATAGGAATTCTTCTTAGTATTACGATAATAATGGTGATAATAAGGGCACTAATAACAGAAGAATTCGCATTACAGACGTGAAAGTTAAAAAATGGATTACATAGATAGGTAAAAATACGCAATAACGAAAAGTGACGGTAGCGGGCCCAAGATGCGCCATGTGCATTGCATGTGAAAGAACTACAGCGTTATCAGATGCTTCGTGGAAATCATCACGAAGCCTTGGAAACATGTTTCGTACCTACTGGCCCTACCCAGTCAGCAAAGAGTATGTGAAACCTTGAAGTAACACATGTCCCTTCTCAGATTTGAACATTAGTCGACTAGAACTTCAATCAAAGACGTTACTACTGAGCTTTCAGGGCTCTCTAATGACCTGCTTTAGGACTCTTTTGGATACTTTGACTAAAGTTAGGCAGCAAGGAATTAGTGCCATGCGTTTAGGGCTTTGTTCGGTACAGACCGAATCCTATCATTCAGCTTTGCAGTGTGACCACCATGCTATGCGGCCCTCCATCACGGTGCACTCAGAAATGTTGCTATTAGATAGTTTGAGGCAAATGTTAGGAAGCCCTGGAACTAGGTTTCATGGAGAGTCATATAGCATGCTGTTCACAATGTAGACATGACTGAGAGAATTCATCTTGCAGCAAACAAAATGCTAGACGCATGACACTAGTTACTGTTCAATCAAAGGATAAGAAGTATTCCAGTCGGAGCTTCATTTCAGTCTACAAAATTTTCCTAATTCAGGAAGGTCAAAAATAGGGATGATACACCATTCTAGATTTTGAATAAAGCATGAACAACAGTGTTTACAGAATAAAATGGTAACATGATTTATTTCGTTGGCTTCTCATGAGCTACTTGCAGCTCAAAGACATTATTAAGTATGTCTACAGAAACAATTTTAACATATTTGCACAGAGTTCATTTTCAAACAAAAATGAATCACTCAGTATATGCATACAATAATAATAATAAGCGATTTTTCCCGAACACTAACAGTCATACACAATGTAATCATTCGGCGTCGCGTAATCAGATAGAAGACAGGATAAAACATTCTGTTCCCAGGTCAAGAAAAGACTGATAACCGCTTCTTTCTAAACATATAAATCGGGTTTCCGCATCTTGACGCATATTGCTTCTGCAAGCCTAAGCAGAATTGAACTATTTTGCCTACTGATACTTTTGAACGATCTAGCTACATCCACCTCATGACCCGTGTCAAGGAGATGCCTAGCGATGGCACCGTTTAAAGCATTCGTTCCCTTTAGACATTGACGTTTTTGTACACATTCATAAAATCGAAGATTTGCCCTTCTCCCTGTTCTCCCAAATGTAACTGCTCCTGCCGATACACCTCAATTTGTATACACAGTTGGAGTTAACATGAGAAGAACATCTGTCGACTTTTGATAACATCAAAGAGCATGTTTTCTGATAGACGGAAACCAACTTAGCTGCAAGAAAGGCTATGGCTAGTGATGCCCTTAATCTTCTGTTGACGATTGCTGCAACATTTTCACCTTTAAAATCGAGCTAACTGAAGACAGGCTTTTTTTCCCAGTGGGATTTGTTTGACATTTGAGACTTTACATCTTCCATATTTGCTAATGAACTTTTGAGGGTGACCGTTGTTTTTCAACGTCTTTTCGAGAAAAATTAATTCTTCCTCCAATTTCTCTGTAGAGATTATTCTCCTCGCTCTTTAGTATAGAGTCTTGACTAGTCCACGAATAAAACTATTTGGACAAAATCTATTAAAATGTAAGTATTGTTTATTCCATGTCGGCTTTCGATTAATTGACCTCTGGAGTCTAGCAAATTCTAGGCGTTGTTTGGCAATGTCCATCGTTTTCATGTTCCATAGTAAACTGAACCTCGCTACGTGAGTCGTCAAAAAACCTGAATAGGTAGGAAACATGACTTCCGCTTCCGTACACTGTGTCATCGACATATAGACAATAAGATGTTATTTCGTCAATTGCATGCTTCAACTTTGTTCTTTCAAGGTTGGATATGAAGATATTTTCTGATTGAACAAATCATCACATATTGAAGTAAACGTCTTCATCGATTTCTCACTTTTAAAAGCTGATATGCCGAACGGAGACTGACAATTTCAGCTGTCAGTAAATGCACAACGTTACTATGACAATCAATTAAAAATATGCGGGATTTCATGCAGCTAACCCAACTCATAACTGAACGTTTGAAACAATAAGACACTGAGAAGAGTCTATGCATTAAGGTAGGTAGGATAGGACAGAAAAAGACACAAAATCGCACTGACAAAACGATAACAGTGACCAGGATGGTGAGAGATTATAGTCAGGCTTTCTTTCTATATTCTTTCCAGTGTACAAAGGGAAGGAGTATTTACAAGGACCATAGGAAGAATCAAAGCTGTATTGAAGAGAATATCTTCCGCCACCAAACGCATTCCACTTTACAACACAGAATACTCGTTGACTCAGTCAAAAGCGCATGAGTGTTCTGCTCATGTCAACACCAAATGCATTTGCCAAATCACCTGCATTTACGGGTGCAAGGAGGTAGGAAGGACTGACAGGAGGGCGCCTACGAGATTTCTTCAGCATATATCTGAGTGTCTCCTTATGAAAGACAGCAAAGCGTTCTCGATTGCAATTTCCACAAATCTAGTTGACATAAGAGATGCAGTATAAATTAGTGAAGCTTTCAAAATAATCAATATACACAAAGAAAATCATGATTGCTTCGGTTCAGAGAAGCAAGTGCTATCAAAAGACTTTATTTTAATCTTTGTATACAGAGAGATAACGTGTCTTATTTTCCACCATTCCGGCAGTTTTAACATTCAAATGTGCTTCAAACCAATGCGAATTCAAGAAATTTCATAGATTCATACCCGTTTCATCCAGTCAGTTTATTTGTAACAGAGTGAAGAGAACAATACTATAACAGAGAACCTCTGGTTTTCGCGTTTGCCCATAAGGCGGTTTTCTTATTCCTTCACGCTTCCACTGGAACATAGGACGCTTCCAAGCTAGAGGCTTGAAGTTTTAATAGCGGTGGTGATTATTTTCACAAGGTGGGGTTGCTAGCCTTATGTCCAACCTTTCATCTTTATCGGCTTTTTTTCTGGCTTAGCGAGGTAAATGAGTGCGTCTGCCGGGGATGGAACCCCGAACCACATGGGGCGTGGTCGACGAGCATTCTACCATTGCACAACCGACGCCATAAGACGGTAAGCTTACATATTCCAAAATCCTGGTGATAATATCGAGAAAAATCAATATTTTCATTTGCATCAAATGTTATTTAGCTAAACAAAGAAAGAAGTCGTCTATTTGTGACCACCTGTTAGAATCTTGTCATTTAGTACCACGTGATTCATCTTTCAAAGCTATATACATGGCGAAATCGAATCGATCCAAAAGTTTACGTTTTCATCACTTATGCATAGCCGAAGCTTTAGCCATACATGAACAGAAACCTGAATTATGTGTTCAAAACGTTTTGTCAAACCACTTTCTTCACCTTGGTCATGGCAAGGTTATTTGTAGTTTTTATTTTATTTTACCACTTGAATTCTTTCCACTTCACTTCACATCTTTATTCTTATCGTAATCGTACTGCTAATTTTCAAAATTTTTAGAAAACACTTGACATTTTTGATATCAATTTAGTTATAAAACAATCTTTAATATTTTTGTAATTTATCCACTTCAACTCTACCCCTTATAACATTTTAATTATCGTTATTCTTATCACATATATATGCATATTAACTGATCAATTATTTAGTGCCACTTAATAACCTTTTCCTGTAATATAAATACGACTGTACAGTTGCTTGAAAATGAAGTCGTTGAAAAGAAGTTTCTTCTCTGAACAAAAAACTACTGTGTTTTTACTTATGAATAAATGGGTATTTTTCGTGATTTAAAACTGTTTACATCAACTTATCATTCACAGAGGCAAGGGGAATCGAAGGCTGTCCAATGTTTCAGAACAAAGAATCTAATTTTGTATACACAAGTTTCATATATATATATATATGTTGGAAAGCCCATCAAGGAATCATCTTTCCATCCAACTGCCAGAAAGCGGTGTTGTCAAATGAACCAGACTTCATTGACTGGTAATTTTAATAATTTTCTTCTCAGGATATATATCATATAATCTCCTGATAGTCCCTGTTATTAAATCTCCATAGACCATTGAATAGGGTACAGTTTTATCAAGCCTTTCCAAATCATAGAAGGTTTTACTCCAACCGACTTCACGATGTTTACCTAATCGACAAGATTTATCGATTCGTCGTGTAGGATACATCCATGTCTCAGAATTCTGTGAGAATTCATTCGATGATTCAATACTATGATAATGTCTTGGCATTAATTCAACACCTTGGTAACGTATAGAGAATTGATCTAGACCGATTAAACTAAACAGCGGCTGGATAGATACACATTGTAGTGAGATAGTTATCCAACCATCATCTTCTGATGTCACTGATGGAATTTCACATCCCCATTCAGGTAGATCATAAGATGTGAATTCTTTGAAATCTGATGAATTCATATTAGTAATATAAGGATTAGTATCAGTAGCGTTATGAGTAGTAGCGTTACGCTCCTTAATATACTCCTTCAATAATAACGAAGCTGGTTTCATACCAATATGATTAGCCCGTGGTATATATCGTACACCGATGACTGTATTACATCCAGCACAAAGCACATTACAAGCTGCATGATGTATTTTATCATTCAGTTGTAATATATGCGGTAATACAGGGATAAATGCTTCATCTATTTTATCCTGAATTTGTTTATTCCGCTCTACATTGCTTCTCTGGTTTAAACAAACTTCACTACTGAGTATTGAATCGTTTGACCTTGATCTACTACTCCGTGGTTTAACATGAATATTAATAGCATCTTGTAAAAATATTGCCATAAAATATCGATTATCTGTCTCGTGAACATTAAGATTTTCTCGTAGTATTCTGTTCTGGTTATTACTATGACTATTATCATTACTATTATTATTGACATTTTGTTCCGTCTTCAAATGTTCATAAACTAATCGTTGTTTCTGTTCTATGGTCATCTCTGTGGTATTATTATCCATCCCGGGAATTATAAAATGTCGAATAATTTCTTTATTTATTTCATACAGTTTATTTAGATTTGATTCAATGTATGCTGTAGACATAGTTACATAACCAAAGGGTAGACCACAGATATTACATGTTATTCGTCGACGATGATTTAATTTTGAGTAGGATGGCATAGTGGTTGAGATAGGCAAGGGACACTGGATGGGTAATGGATCCATTGGAATTCGCTTATCTGTCGGCTTTGGTAAAATGTCCAGTGTTTATGTACACTGAGTAATTTAGAGGATTTAAACTACTAATTATTGATTGGTTATGCCTGAAATAATCGATGAATTACAAATAGCCTATGGGTATTAGTTCATCTTTAAGGTATGTCCATTAATTTCAACCTACAGATTTAATTTACTAATAATAATTACTCATTTCTCCCAAGTCTGTGTGGAGGTCAACAGCACTGCTCAGCATCAAAAATAAGATCCCGATTTTCACTTCCAATAGGAAGGCAGTGCTACTACACACGGATCAGAGACTTGGTGCATCACAAATGGCATTACGAACAAACTACAGACTTTCATCAACAGCTGTCTTCGCTCAAGATCAGATGGCCGGCTAGAAGAGATCAGCAACGGGAATCTCTTAGAGCGAACCAAACCAGCAAGAACCGATTGTTCATCAAATATGGAAGAAGAAATGGAGGTGGATTGACCATACTCTGAGGAAACAAACTATCATCAAGTGACATCACAAGACAGGCCATCGCTCGAGTGGAATGCAGCCGAATGGGAAGCTGTGAGTTGGTCGTCTGTGTGAGGGTGATATGGAAGATGTGATGTGAAGAGGAGATTGTTCTGGTCACAAAGTTCCCTTGCATTTTCCCAGACACTTATGTAGGTGGAACCAATGTCGTCGAAAAGAACATATTCCAAAATGGCTAATAAATCATATCGAAAATCCTAACGCGATTAATCCTAATAGAAATCCAGCATCATCCATTGCAAAACACTTATGAATGTCTGGTCATAAAATCAATATTAATGACTGTTTCACAATTATTTCACATAACTCTAATTCAAGGTTGGTTATTGAAGGTGATGGAAGCACTTTGGGGGATTAATCACATACAGCCTAAACTATGTGTACAAAACAAACAATAGACTTCAATCTTCGCCTACCATGGACAACATGACCTATCTAAATATCATTGGTCATTAGTATGTACTTTTGTTTTTATTTAACTGAGTAATTTTCATGAACTTTGTTTTATTCTTGTTAACCATCGTAGTTGTAAAGCGGTTGTAAAGAAACTACGAAATGACGATATCACCTGCGAAATTTGTCTTCTTAATGCCTTATTCAAATTTATCAATGGGACTAATTGTTTTAATATGTTTTTTACAACTGGTTTCCCATTCACACACACACCACTGTATGCCTCATGTGCAGCAATATTTTCATATTCAACCTACCAACTTTCAGTCGAATGTAATCACTAAACTTCTGATGAAAATTACACTCTCTTTAAAGTGCTTAACAAAAGTCGACTAATATTTGTAAGTCTGAGGTTAAATTTTGATCACAGATTATATAATTTTATTTATTATACATTATGATGACTGTTTCATGACTCATATGATCGGACAAAGTTTTTGAAAATAAGAGATGTCCATTTTAATGCATACACCTGGTGAGAGCAGGCTGCTAGCCAATTGGTCGACATTAATCCTAGTCAATGTCTAGGTCACTAATATTGGCCGTGTGAAAACAGGAACAAGGCTGATTCAACAACCAATCGCAGCAGACTTAAACGTGGGCAAATATGATTCGCAGATGGATGGCTGTACTTTCAGAGAAACTCGAAAACAACCAATCAGAAAACTGCGTTTGTCTACTGGAATACGTTCTAATAATGTACATAATATATATATATATATAAATACGTGTTGATTTTCGTAATAAAACGATCTGTTGCCTGGCCCTTGTCTTCTGTTGTTATATATACACCTCTGTTATCTTAATTCCGATTATATTCCCTGTATAAGTTCGGATCAGCTGGCCAAACTAAACGTTAAAATTACGCATTTCAATTTCACTGAGATTTTACAAATGTCTACTTCTCACTCAACACCCAATTACTTCAGAACTAATGTGAGTAAAATGTTCGACCATTGTGGAATAGAACAAATAGAGTATAATCACATTTCAATGGATTATACACAATAATAAGTTTTTCTGCCCTTGATCAAACCAACTGTTGGTATTGTTTTGTTTTTTAATTCACATATTTATAAATATATGTATATATATAGTTCATTCGTTTTATCCGTTCTTTTTCGTGTATTCAGATTTATAGTTCAGGTTGTTGACAGCTGTGCTGCTGAGTCACACTTGTTACATGTATCCCATGTGACCTTAATGAATATAGTTTCTGTTATAAGTCTCTCTTTCCATTTGTTCATATTAGTTTTTAGAATATAAACATTGTTCCAGTTGATATTGTAGGTTTTGCCCCATGCATGTGCAGCTATCGATGAATTTTTCCCTAGATTCTTGTGTTCCTGTTGGTTGACCTTCGGTTAGGCGTTTATGTTCATTCACTCTTATTTTGAGTGATCTGGACGTGTTTGCCCCACATATTTAGTCGGACACTCAGCACAAGATATCTGTTTGTAAATTACATTGCTGCTTTTATCCATCATTTTTATGGGCTCTTACAGTTGATTTATCTCATTTTTAATTTTAAACATGGTGTGAATCCCAAGAGTTTTGAGATTTATTCTAATTGACTCCGATGTAACATTTTTGTATGGTATTGTGATTGTATTCTGTGTGGTTTTATCCAGCGGTAGTGAATTTAAAAACTCAAAATGACCTCAACAGTCCTGTTAGACAGCTATACACACACGTTGAATGTTTAGGCATAAAATAAGTTTTCAATATCAGGTAGAACATTCACATATCAACAAGTCCTAGGAGAGAGTCCAATGTCTGATTCAATCAAACAAAGCCACATTGTAAAACAATACATGATCAGTATATCACACAGCGAACCAAGAGCCGATTGCTTAACAAATATTTTGGGAGAAAATTGAGATGGATTGGTCGGGCATACATTGAAGAGGCCGTTGAATTACATCACGTGCAGTCAAGGCCATTGCTAGGGTGGAATCCTACTAAGAAGAGACCAGTGGGTTGTCGATGTGAGGGTGACTTGGAGAAGATAGTGTGGCGAGGAGGAGACGCAAGATTATGGGCAATTGTAAATCCAGGTGAAAGGGGTGTCAGAAAACAGAACAAAGTATAAATGTATTATTCAAGCCCTATGTTCCACTGGGAACCTAAAGGAATAAAAATGGTAAAAATTAGAGAATACATAGAGGTGAAATGCAACAATAATGATAAAGTCAACATATGTTATTCCAAGGTTTGAATAATGACTAACAATGTAGGGGATAAACGGATAAGAATTACAAAGTTAGTTAAAACATCCAAATTAGTGTAAATATTGTGATCAGATTGTCCAAGAGGGATTTTTCAAACATTCTCCCCTTTGTGTTCACTTATTTTCTAACTGTTGTCATTTGATATAACTTTTAGTCAAAATGTATTTTTATTGAATTCCATATACTGTGAAACACAGTTTGTTGCTTTTAAATGGATTGGATTGGATTTTCAACTCCAATGTAAAGTCAGTGCTACTATACGGATCAGAGACTTGGCGAGTCATAAAGAGCATCTCAAACAAACTTCAAACCTTCATTAACAGCTGTCTTCGCTCAATACTCAAGATCAGATGTCCTACCAGAAATGATCAGCAACAGGGATCTCTGGCAATGAGCGAACCAACCAGGAACCGATTGTGAAACAAATAGGCAGAAAGAAATGGAGATGGATTGGCTGGCCATACTCTGAGGAAACCAGCAAGTGACATCACTAGACAAGCCATCGCTCGAGTGGAACCCAAAAGGGAGGCGGCGAGTTGGTCGTCAGTGCAAGGGTGACTTGGAGGAGGTCATGCGAGGAGGAGATGAAAGCATGTGGACAGACCTGGAGTAGGGTGAAAAAGTTGTCAGAAAATCGAAGGCAATGGAGGTGCGCAGCTGAAGCCCTATGTTCCTCTAGGAACTAAAGGATACAATAACAATAATAATAAATGGTTGGAGGCATGTGATATCAACAATTCACAGTGTGACGACAGAAGACAAGGGCCAGGCAACTTATTGAGAAAATCAAGAGATATTTACAGATTTTTATGTCATTATTGTCAGCGGAAAATTGACGTCTACTGACTGGTTGTTTTCTTACTGAAGGTTATTCTGTATTGCTTGTGACCATTTTTCCTGGAGAGTTAAGCCATGTATCTGCCAATCGTATATGCACAATTCAAGTCTGCTGTGGTTGGTTGGTGAGTTTCCCAAGGTTACGCCATGCTACTGTTTTTTCTCATGACCCCGATTCGGGACGTAAGAGCTGACGCGTAAATTGTTATCTAGAATTTTGGCTTGCAGACAGCTCTCACCACAACAGTACTCACTGACGTGAGCCACATTGCAAGCTTGACTGATATAGTACAGCCTGTGGACATATCACACTAGTGTGTGATTAGTTTCCAGTCAAATTAACACAAACTGTACTTTTCTAAAGGGGATTTCACTTAAAATTATGCAAAAGTGACTTCAGTGACCCCCATTAGGTGTACATATAATTAAATGCATCACATAATAATAATTTGGAGCCAGATCAACTGGAATTTCAGGCAGTACTGATTCGTAGGGGAAGATATTGCCTCTCTAATGTCATGATACCAATCTTAAACAGGTATTCAGATCATAGAATTTGTGGAAATTTCGAATTAACTTCAGTTGTAAGATTCTCACCGTCTCGAAGTAACGTCATTTAGAGAGATAAGTGAAAAACAAGGAGCACTGGGCAGCCAGTCATTTCGTCATATTTTCAGACTCTCCATCTGGGCACACCCACAACTCTGACAGGAATTGAACTCAGGACCTTCAGGTTACAAGACCAGGTTTGTCGAATAATCAGTCTCTCGGACTGGAATTCAATGACCATTGAATTCAAACTTTATGAACTTGTTATACACCAGTGCCTACCTCGCCACTGCCTTTGGTAAGCGGTGTCATACTTGTGCACTGAGAGAGTCCCGGAGTGAGACGAAACATCTGTCTAGTTAACCTTGGTTCCCAATGACCTCTGTAAGTGATGTGGGTTCCTGACGAATATCTAACAAGTGAAAGTAAAAAGTACA